ATGGAGGGGGCTTATAACGAGTTCTCCAGGCTTGCTATATGAAACCTTTTCCCGCTGCACAACAATCAACTGCCTCATTTTGTGCTTCTCCCCCTTCCGCGCCTTCCTCCCTTCCACACTCCTCCCCCTTCCGCGTCCTTCCCCTTTCCACGCTCCTCCCCCTTCCGCGTCCTTCCCCTTTCCATGCTCCTCCCCCTTCCGCGTCCTTCCCCTTTCCGCGCTTCTCCCCCTTCCGCGTCTCATCCCCTTCCGCGCCTCATCCCCTTCCGCGCCTCATCCCCTTCCGCGCCTCCACCCTTCCGCGCCTCATCCCCTTTTGCGCCTCATCCCCTTCCGCGCCTCATCCCCTTTCCGCGCCTCATCCCCTTCCACGCCTCATCCCCTTCCGCGCCTCATCCCCTTTCGCACCTCATCCCCTTTCTACGCCTCATCCCCTTCCGCGCCTCATCCCCTTTCGCGCCTCATCCCCTTCCGCGCCTAATCCCCTTTCCGCGCCTCACCCCCTTCCGCGCCTCATCCCCTTCCGCGCCTCATCCCCTTTCCGCGCCTCATCCCCTTTCCTGCCTCATCCCCTTCCGCGCCTCATCCCCTTTCCGCGCCTCATCCCCTTCCGCGCCTCATCCCCTTTCGCGCCTCATCCCCTTCCGCGCCTCATCCCCTTTTCGCGCCTCATCCCCTTCCGTGCCTCATCCCCTTTCGCGCCACATCCCCTTTCGCGCCTCATCCCCTTCCGCGCCTCATCCCCTTTCCGCGCCTCATCCCCTTTCGCGCCTCATCCCCTTCCGCGCCTCATCCCCTTCCGCGCCTGATCCCCTTTCCGCGCATCATCCCCTTCCGCGCCTCATCCCCTTTCGCGCCTCATCCCCTTCCGCGCCTCATCCCCTTCCGCGCCTCATCGTCTTTCGCGCCTCATCCCCTTCCGCGCCTCATCCCCTTTCGCGCCTCATCCCCTTCCGCGCCTCATCCCCTTTCCGCGCCTCATCCCCTTCCGCGCCTCATCCCCTTCCGCGCCTCATCCCCTTTCGCGCCTCATCCCCTTCCGCGCCTCATCCCCTTTCGCGCCTCATCCCATTCTGCGCCTCATCCCTTTCTGTCCGCGAGCAGCTTGCGCCTTATCGCAAGAGAATCGGGCCGCGCACTAATGGATTGGAGCAACTCCGAGCGCCCTGTTTCTGTCCCTCCCCCGTGCGCATGCACTTCTGCTCCCAAACCCACTTTGTTCTCTGCTTCCCGAGCCTCTCATTCGCCCAAGCGCCTCATCCTTCGAATTGTCTGATGGAATGCGTCCCCAGCTTCATGCTTCCTCTCCGCTCCTCCCTCTTCTACCTCTCGCCCCCCCCCCCCCCCCCCCCCACTTCCCCCCCCCCCGCACCTCACCTCCCCCCCCCCCCCCCCCCCCCCTCCTCCCCCACCACACCACAGAAGAGTCCCGCGGAAATAAGGTGGCGAACCTCGAGTGCTCTTCCTAGTAGGGAAGCGAGCGGCGGACGCGGGAGAGGAAACGTCCAGGAGGGCATAACGACGAGTTTTAACGAATCTTTCAGTGTCGTGCTGAACGCCATGCAATCATGGTATAGGTTTTCGGCGGCAGCTGATACGGCAGTCCGTCTCGTACCACTGAAAATCTCAGCATCTCTGGAATGCCGCCTTTCAAGACCTCGAGCGGGAACCGCTTTTGGAGCAACGTTATCCATGCATGCGATACAAGCACACTAAATGATGGAGGCGACTACTGGATGTGGTAGTGCGCGGGAATCTGACATGGCCAGTACCGTCTGAGGAGGTTAGCGAATTAGGTTCTACAGCAGCTCGGCAGTCTCTTGAACATTTCAAAATCTCAGCCAGACGGAAACGTGACCCGGTTACACATCTGGCTCAGTTGGGATTCACGAAATCCCGTCCGAACGACCGTCTGGGTTCTTGCTTCTGGTTTTAAAACCAGAATGTCAGCACTTCACTATACTCAATAACCTTCGCATATTGGAAAGGTTTTTTTAGCGAAATACCCCTCAGCCACCTGACCAGATTTGGAGCCAGGTTTGCCGCCTGCCAGTTACCCATAACCCTCGCTGCGAAATGGATTCGCCCCCATTCGTTATTTCATGCAGGTCATGCAGAAGTAATCCGCCGTGAACAAGGCGAGAAACACATGAGAAACTAGGCAATCCAGCAGGAACATCTAGCTGCTAATCCATGCATCCCTCGACCCTGCATGTATCAGCTTGGTGGTAAAAACGACAGGGATCGTCGCAAGACTTATAGTGGCGTCAGAGAGTCTCTCGGATCGTTTGACATGCATAAACATCGATATTCCTCACCATCTCTCGTTGAGATTGTCCGAAAATCTGAATGTTAATTCTGAACGCGACTCAGAAACTTGGAAGCTACTCACTAAGTTATGCTTAGGCGCCTTGTATAAGGATGGGTCTGGACATTTTTGGAATGCCTGGTTGTGCGGTTCCGTTTTCATTTTACATCGGCTAATTCCACTTCTTTCATGGCAACGTCATTACAACCTGTGATGAAGGTCAACATTCTATACCATAAGGTATGCACAATTACTTGTTATTGGTGGTGCTCTCAACTTCCACTCCCATATCCATTTAATCGAGTCTCGGTACAGAAATATGAACTCTTGGTTTTTCATTCCCCCCCACTTTTCAGGAGAAGGGAAAGGTCCTGTACCTCAAGGCTGGAAACGATTTTGTTGATCTCCTCATGGCGCTACTCCGAATGCCCACTGTGGATGTTCTGAAACTTTCCATAAAGGCTGGAGCTCCGACTAAGCAGATCGGACTCATCAACATCTTCTCCATCATGGAGAAGCTCGAGCAGTCGTTCATGAAAGTGGATAAGAACATGGTTTTGAAACCCTCACCCAAAGAAGGACATGCGCAGCTTCACCACCTTGGGTGGAAAGAGGAGTGGGGTTATTTCACTTGTCCTGCTGCAAACCACCTGTCCCTATCACTGGTTTCTGGTGCAAGATGTGCCACTTGTGGAGTGGTTATGACCAAGCAGATGAAGCCTTTAGAAGGGGAGACCATAACGGAATGGTCCAACTTTTGCACCTACGATTCGCGGCATCGAGTTGCCAACTGGAATCCACCGAACCCATATGCACATTGTCCAACATGCCCTAACTGCTATGACTCTATGTGTTGTGGTCTTATCCGAGTTGACACTCGTACTGCCAACAGTGCCGGCTTTGTGAAGGAGGATATCCCTTTCATGGTCACGGACAATCTTCAGTTCTTCCGCAGCTCTGCAATCAGCAGCATTGAACTTCTCAACAAGCTTGGAGTGAAGTCTTTTGGAGAGCTGAAGAGCCAAGAGACAGCTGTAACAAGGCATCATGTGAGTCAAAATGTACAGCTTCTTTCGTAGGGTATGCACAGTGCTTGTGTATTTATCCAGCCAACCTGTTGGGTGTTTTTGGCCTTGTTGCAAGCACTGGCACTTGTCCGGGCAGCACTAACGTCAGCTACTGCTCTGACTGACGGGTTTGGGAATGCAATGAGGTGGTAAAGGTTTAAACGTTGGGGAAATTGCTTGTTGCTTACACGCCTTGTGAGTGCTGTCTTAGTTGGCTCTGCTGGTGCATTGTACGCTACCGGCACTTAAAATAATTATGTGCAGGTTGCTTTAGTTGGCTCTCCAGCAAAAAATTGTCCTGTCCAACCCCATGGGTATTTGTATACCGGTGTTACAAACTGGTTTACTTCTTCAAAATTATTCATCTTCACCTCTGCACCCAGCTTTTTACCGGGTATTTACATGCTTTCCCATCATCCCACCCACCCAGGATTCACCGCCATCCTCTCAGCTATCGCAGCTCCCCCTGTCTGCTGCCTACCACGCTGCACAAACCAGCAGGACCAGGACCACCCTCCCTCCCCTACTTCTGCCCTTCTTGCCCTCCTGGTTCCCCTCCCACCCACCCTTCCGTCTGCCATGCCACCTGCACCCAGCTGACCCCTTTGTGAACCATTGCTGAGAACCCTGCTGCTCTGCTATAATGTGGGCTCTGCCCTGATGCCCATGGGGCAGCAGCAGGGGCGAAGAGAGCAGTGGGGGTGGCGGTGGGGGGGGGGTGGTGGGGAGGGGGGAGGACCGTCAGAGCCCCCACATGTGAAAGAGGTCCTAAAAATGGCGATCACCCATGGTGTGACGTTGCGCCGCAACCACTTGTACAGTACCACCTGGAGTCATGGGAACGATTCGCAAAGCAACTGAGAACTTGGCTGCTGCTGCTGCTGTGCCCAGGCCGGTAGGGGTTCTCGTGGCGCCCATGGGGCAGTAGCAGGGGTGGGCGGTGAGATTGTGAGGCGCCTCACAACTGGTGATGCCATAAGGCAGCAACAGGGTGAGGCGGGCAGTGAGGATGGTGGGGATGGTGGGGAAGGGGGAGGCCTGTCACTCCCTCCTGCGGTGAAAGCGGTCTAAAAAGGGGGGCGATTACCAATGTGACGTTGCGCCTCAGCCACTTGCACAGTGCCACCTGGCGCAGACACAGAGGGGAGCAGGTAGGGGATTATTGAGAGACAGTGGCGGAAAACCAGTACAAGGGGGGGCAAGGGAGGGAGCACTGGCAATTGAAAGGGCAATTGCAATGGAGCAAGGTGGGCAAGACGACGAGCACCAAAATGAGGGGGGTCGGGGAGGGAGAGGGATTTTTTGGCGGCTTGGGGAGAAGGAAAGAGCATGAATGGCGTCTCGAAAATGGCTTCATGCTGTGTCTCACCTCATTTCCGAAGTTCTTAAATTATCGAGAGGACCGGACAGATACTCCTCCCTGAACTGAACAGCAGCAGCAGCAGGGGAGAGACTCCTCCGCTGCTTTTGCGTACTGCTGCCGCCCCTACCCTGTCCACCCATATCCTTCCTGCCATGCTTCCCCATCCATATCCCACTCTCCACTCCCCCCTTGACACCTTGTCAGCCGCACCATACCCATGTCCCTGCCGCCATGACACCACAGCAGGCCCTCCCTAGGGAGTTCAGGCGTCAACTGAGTCAACCCCAATCCACTTTCGGCCCTCCTTGCGGCTCTCCTCTTTGCTGGCAGCCAGCAGCGCCTCCGCCATCTCCACCCCCAGCCCAGGCCGTCCTACACCACACGTGCTATGCAACTTGGGGGGCAGTGGGGAGTGGGGGAAAAGGGGGGAATGGGGGGAAAGTGGCGAATGGGGGGAAAGTGGCGAATGGGGGGAAAGTGGCAAATGGGGGGGAAGTGGCGAATGTGGGGGAAGTGGCGAATGCGGGGAAAGGGAGGAGAAAAACAAGAGATTGGGGAAAAACGGGTATGGCAATCAGTTTAGAGGTCCATCAGACAAAGACCCGTGCACTAGCCGAGGAGGTAATCCCTGCCACCAGACCTCCTGCCGAGGAGGTAATCCCTGCCACCAGACCTCCTGCCAAGGAGATAATCCCTACCACCAGACCTCCTGCCAAGGAGGTAATCCCTGCCACCAGACCTCCTGGCGAGGAGGTAAACCCCTGCCTTACCCATCAGAAGTGCCTCACTGGTTGACTGCTCCTGTGGACCAACAACTGATGAAGACAGAACCAGAGCGAGTGTGTGCAGTGTAGCCCCTACAGCCTATGAAGACGAAGCTATCGCCTGTCAGCGCCACCTTGCTCGTTCCTTCCCACCTGTACGCAACAGCCGTTAGCCTGTCACTACAACGGATGCGCAACCGGGCTGGCTGGCCTTCGCCTTGTGGCGCCACTGTGGACCACGGCACAGAGGCTATGCGACGCAAATTCACCACACAGACCCTAGCACAGCACGGCACAGCACAACACAGCCCTCCTGTTGCAGCACAGCATGCAAGCATCTCATCACTGCCCTTCTAATTGAACCACTCGCGTGTCGTATCGACTACTGCAGCAGCTCAACAACCCCACCTCGTCAACAAGGACCTCTGTGCTGCTGATGCGCACATGACACATGTAATGCATAAAGCAGCAGCCGCGATCTCGCCTCCACTGTCAGCCCCTACAGCAGCGCAGCACTGCCGCACACTGCACCACTACCTCCTCAGTGCTCCCCCCCACCCCCCTGCCTCCGCAGCCACCACTACCTCCTCTATTAGCTCCGCTGCAGTCCCCCCTTTACCCCCTGCCCTCATCCCCGCCCCCCCTTCTTCCTCCCTTCCCCACACTACCGCCACCCCTGCAGCTTCTACCTCCGCATTAGTCTCCCCCACCCCGCCCTTGCCCCACCAACCCCACATTCTCACCCACACCACCCCACTCCGCTTCCCCATCTGTCCACGCCCAGCCACTAGCCGCTGTTCCCTTCCGTTGAGGCGCTTCATAAATACTTCCACCTCCCTCCTTTCCTCTGGTCGTCGCAGCAACCGGTCGCTCTGTGCTTTGCCCAGTTCCCTTTGTCGCCGCGCTTCAAGGAGTGGGACATACAGTGAGCTTTCCAGGCTTGCTATATGTGACCTTCCCCCTACGCATAGCTATTGTCCATCGCCACAACAATCGCGTGTCGCACAGCGATTGCCTGTTGCAAAGTGATTGCCTAGCACAGCCACAGTTTGTCGCACATACACGCATGTCCATCGATCTCCTGCAGACTCTTAATGTCGACGACCACTCTGTACAGCCGCCTTTCCGCCCCCTCCCCCCTCAGCCAGCATCCGCCTCCGCCTGCTTCCGCAGAGTCGTCTGGACTCGCGCACACCCGCCGCTGCTCGCAGCATCATGGCGGAGCGTAGGAAGACAGTGGCGAGCTTAGCGCGCGGAAAGAAGATGAGCGACATGCGGGGACCGAGGCTCGCATGGGCGGGGGGTGCGGTGGAAGAAGGAGTTGGGTCGTGCGACACAGATAGGCGATGGAACATGCGACGAGGAGGCAACGGGGGAGAGTACGACAGATGGAACCCGCCATTTGCCTCCTTTAAAACTAGGATTCGAGGCGCGAGGAGATTTCAAGGTCGACCGACAACCATGGATGGGATCAGCTCGATATACAATATAAACTCGCAAAATGTTCGGAGAACATTCGACACTTATCTGAGGTGAGCATCCACAAATAAAAATGTCATGATTATTAGGAGACAAGGCTGAGCTGAATGCAGAATGGGAGGCGCTAGCTGACGCCCAACAGCGGTGTGAACTGGAAGCAGAGGAGAGGAGCGGACGGTAAACTAGGGCGCGCATCCAGGGCGCAGCTAAGTTGGTGACGAGCAAGGCTTGCTTAGTTTCGATCTGATTGAGCTTAATAAATATTTGCAGTACGATACGCACTTGTTTGCAAGGTGTACGACTACGCTTTGCTTTCTCAAGCCAGTGCGATGAAATTCGGCGCTATATTTTGGTGCCGCCCTTCTTTTTGGTTTCACAAGCATTTCGAAACAAGCAGTCGTCGCAATCGCAAACACGCCCTGTTTCGGTATGTTCGACAGGACCCACCGCCAGACCATGCATGAATTTGAACCTCATCTGCACCACATTATAAGCTGACGATATTCTTGATTACCGTTTCGAACTCATTCAAAAGTCCATACTCCAAGCAAGGAGAAAACGGTACCATGACTCGAAATCTCGGGACATCCCAAAATGGCTTGAAAGACTTGCCGCGGAAAACCAGGCCACTTCCAGTTTATGGATGTCAATCTAAGAAGGCGACGACGCTCTGCTGTTGCGTAGGGCTGGATGCCACTCCGCGCGAATTGTGAGTTGCAGATTGATGAGGCTGCTTTCGCGGTTTGAGAAATCACAATGGAAGGCGGGGTGAAGATCAGCTGGATTACAGAAACTCACGATGCTCGTTAGCTATATCACATTTGCAAGCCGTTTCGGATTCCTATTCTCCATCAGCTCTCCTTCGCAAATGGCGGATGCAAAGCACGCAGCGATGAAAGTCCAGGTTCTCTTTAGCAAGGTAAGTCGCCACCTTCCGCCGCAAGTTATTGCTCCAACGTTCCTTCCTCCCTCAAACTCTCGATTCTTTCGTGTTTTTCAGGAAACTAAGAAAGTTTTATACCTTGAGACCGGGAAGGATTTCGTCGAACTTATCATGGCTATCCTTCGGATGCCAGCCGCCAGCGTGGTGAGGCTCCTCTTGGATTCTAAACAGCCAATCCAAAGACGCGTTGGCGTTTTCAACATATTTTCCAGCATCAGCACACTGGATAAATCTTACATGAAAGTGGAAGGGCCGGATCATTTACGAATTTTGGGCTGCCAAGAAAAGGGCGGTCTCTTCACTTGTCAGACTTCCGGACATTTGTGCCTGTCTCTGATCTCAGGTGCAAGATGCAGCTCATGTGGTCACACAATGACCCAGAAAATGAAGGCCATGGAAGGAGAAACAGTAAATGAATCACTGAACCTCTTCACCTGTTCTCAGTGCCACAGGGTTAGAAACGCCCCTGGTGGATCTTGCCCTGACTGCAACAGCCAAATGAAGACTTCGCTAACGCGGGTGATTAAAAATGACGACGCAGAGCTTGCTGAAGGTTTCGTAAAAGATACCGTAACATTCATGGTTACGGACAACTTGGAGTTCTTCCCTAGCTCCACCATCAGGAGCATCAGCCTGCTCAACAGCCTGGACATTAAATTCATGGCTGACCTGCAGAGCTGTGAGACAACGGTCACCAGGGATCATGTGAGAGCTTATCGTTCTGGTCCAGCTAACTATTTGATTGTTCTATCTGGACATTGGGATTGACGACATTATACACTCACACTCGTTCCCTCATCATCTCCTTGCGCAGGCGCTGGCCCTTGTGCAAGCTGCACTCACATCATGCACTACTCTGAATGGTGTTTTTGGGAACTTGATTGTGATAAAGAAGTGCTGAGCTGACCCTGATAAGATGGTTTGTGCCCTGAAGTGGGGGGTATGCAACAGCCCATTTGCAGCTGTACAGGAGAGCAAGTGCAGGAGGGGAACATCTGTGCTTTCATGAAAGTAAAATCAAATAAATGAAGGCTTTGCTGTGATATTGTGTTGGACGGGAACTGTATAAGCTTGCAAATCATGGGCACATGTTTCGAACAGGAAAACCACTCCAGAGTGGATAGAGAGAACGGCCTGAATATCCACCAGAACTTGTCCCAGATGGATTGGAGGAGGTAGAATATTGGGGCACCAACTGTAGAAGAGAAACAGGTTGCAGTACACACCAAACTTGCCATGATTCATGCACGTCTATAGCAATGCCACCACTTCGAGTGGGAGTAATGCCCGCGGTGATCTCCCCTCCTGTAACTCCGGTGGTGTGGTGATGACCATGCACTCCCCCTTCCACCAACCCTCACTGCTATGGGCCCTTCACACTATATGGGTGTACGGTGGGTGCGGTGCGGTGGGGTGGGGTGAGGCATGGCGTATGACGGGCGGTTGTACGGCGCATCCACATCCACGTACCCCCTCTGGATGAATGGAGGGAGGTGTGGGAAGAGCGGGGGTGGGGAGGGAGTGGGGTAGCGGAGTGAAGGGGGGAGAAGGGAGGAAGGGAAAGGAGGGAAGCAAAGTAAGGGATGAGAGGTTGCACTGCACATCCGCATACCCAGCCTGGGTGAATGAGGCAGGACGAAGGGAGGGGGGAGAAGGGGCAAAGAGGCAAAGGCCAGAGGGAGAGGGGAGAGGGAGAGAGGATGATAAGAGGGGGAGCAGCGAGGACAGACACGGGTGGGAACAATTTTGGTGCTACATGCACAGTTACAACGATATCTTACTGTGGTTGAATACAGTAGTGGTCTGATGCTGCATGATCAATCCTAATGTATGATCGCAAGCCACAGAATCGATTGCACAGTGGTCTGCTGTCCGATGCACAATGCAGCAGTATCAGAGGCCACCCAACAATGCGACATACACAATCATCACAATGACATCACAACACCATCGCACCATCATCACACCACCATCTCACCCCTGGTGGATATTGCAGCGCTCTGCTGCTGCCTGTTGCGTCGCCCTCCACTCTAGGAAGGATTTGGGAGATGGGGAAGGGATGGGGGGACGGGAGTGGATGAGGGAATGCGGAAAAGATGGGTGAAGGGGAGGGGATGAGAGTAGAGGGATGGGTGATGGGAAAGAATGGGGAAAGGAAAACAGATGAGATGAAGGGACAGGAGGGGATGAGGAGGGGATGGGGCAGAGGGATTGGAGGGGCGAGCAGTAACAGACTAATCCATTCCCACTCCCAAACCCTGCTTAGTGCACTCACATAATGAATATGCGCCTCTTACATCACTGTCACCCATGCCCTATCACATTCACCCATGCCCCATCACATTCACCCATGCCCCATCACATTCACCCATGCCCCATCATACTTATCTATTCCCCATCACACTCTCCCATACCCCATCCCACTCGGCCATCCCCATCACACTCACCCATTCCCCATCACACTCACCCATTTCCCATCACACTCTCCCATGCCACATCACACTCGCCCATGCCCCCCTGGTCAATTTGCTTTGCACCCCCTTCGCCTCCACTCCCCCCTCCACTACCCCCATGCTCCCCTCCTCCCCCATGCGCTTGCCCCTGCCTCCTCCTTTTTCCACTCCCATGCCCTCCTCCCCCAGCCCCTCTGTACCCCTCCTCCTGCTCATAATGCCCCCCCTGCCCCCCCCCCCCCCTCCCCCTTGTAGCATTTTACCTCCAGATGCTCCTCTCATATGCCCCCCATCCCTCGCCCCCTCCCCCTGCTTCCACCTTGGGGGAAAACAGAGGATGATTGCCGCCCATGGGGTGGTGAGGGCGCTGCTCCCCCCCGGACCTCCTCCCGCCCCTCCCCCTTTTGCCCACTGCATTCTTGCCATTTCCTTTGCATTCTGCTGCTGTTGCTGCTATCGCTTCTTGGTTGGGAACCTATGAGACAACTCGTGCTGGAGTAGACTGCATGGGGTATGGTCGGGGAAAAGTGCGGGGGAAGGGGGAGGGGGAGGGGGGAAAAGGGGGGACATAGTCACGGGAAGGGAGGTAAAATGAGCCGGTTTTGGACTCTTAAGAGCTTAGCAGGAAAAGTGGGTGACGAAGAGGCAAGGGACAGCTAGAGGTAGCGAAGAAGCTTCTGTGCCGTATGCAACACCATGTAATGATGTGGGTTGACGGTACCAGGTGATACAGCAATCGGTCTCAGGGCGTATCTTTGGTTTGGGTCATCATTTTACACTTTGGGTCATGAGAGGACCAGTGATATTCCAGTAGTGTAGCTAAATTGTGCATTATTGGTCGTCCAAGAATCTCGGATGACCCAAACAGTGCCATGACCCGGTGTGCTCACGTCCTATTTGTCCTGTACTGCAGTGCAAATTTCTTTCATAGATTGCCTCTCCCAGC